GGTCAACGAGGCATCGTTTTTTGAAGTGACAACTTCAAGAAGTTGCGAGGCCGTCAATGGGTTTCATAATGTTACGTTTAGCCCGGGTGGTAAGGCAATAATATCCTGCTCAGTGTTTCGGTAATATTCCTGGTTTCAACCTTTGAAAGCTTTCTCGGCTTTCGGGAGTTTTTCCCCCGTTTGTCGGCCATTTTTTTAAGCGGGCGCGGGAACCTGAAGGAAAATTACGTCACGTTGTTCGCGAAGTTTGATTGGTCAGTTATCTCTTCTTCTCGCTCCAAATATGGTACTTTCGAAAATGAATAATCACGAGCATCGGACAAAGCGAACATATGAGAGTTACACGTTTCAACCCCTTATGAGTTTCTGATAAAACATCGTTTCTTTAAGACCCATTCATTTGTGAGAGAACTAGGTTATTTCATTTTTGAAGGATTCCAGGTAAGGAAAATTTAGACTTCATAAATTATTGAGCCTGATGATCTTCCGCTTTTCATTATGATTACTTTTCTTTTTATCTAGTTATTAATCTTTTTTTTTATTTTTACATTGTTTTCCTTTTATACAACACCATCTATGTAAATGGCACTGCGAAATATACGTTTTTGTTGTGTGGAAATCAATCCGGAGAAATTTTATTTCGACACTGGGGCTTAAAGGCTTAACATAAGACTTTAATTTCTTTTTTGACCGCGGCAGGATTAGCTCAGTCGGTAGAGCGCTTGACTGCAGAGCGGGAGGTCGCGGGTTCGATTCCCGGGGCCAGACCAATACTCAGGGTCTTAAACTAACTGAGAAATGAAGGTACTCCCTTTGCCCGGGTAGACCTTCGCGTGGCTCGGATGACCACGTAAAATGGCGGTCCCGTCTCCAGTAGGAGATGTAAAAATAGTGTCCCCAATTAGTACTTTCGTGCTAAATACATTGACACTCAAATAAAAAGTGCATTTTTTTTCTTTGTTTTAGGATTTTACCGGCAACGTAGACAAAGAAGCTGTAGTAACGAACCAGTTTGAAAATCCTTTCGAGACAATTGCTGTGCGCATAATGCCAACTACGTGGTACGGACGGATTGCCCTAAGAATTGAACTCTATGGATGTGGCATTTAATCGGAAGAAACACTCTGCATACGTCCCTCTAGACTGCTACACAGCCGTTTTTAGTGTCGTCACGCAACGCTCCTCCCCGGGGAGGAGCATTGCGTGACGAAACTAAAAACGGCTGTGTAGCAGACTAGCGTCCCTCGGGGTCTGCAAATAACCAGTAGTAGGAATGTCCTCCTCGTCTTGTCATCATATCCAGGCGTTGCCCAGTTCAGTGATTCTAACATCAGTCGCTGGTTTCAGTAGGCTGTCAATAGGGTCTGAGAAGCACTGAAGCACCTTTCTTCACCGCTACAATCTGTTTACTGAGTGGTAACACCTTGAAGACCCACAGCAGATGTTGGCGTTTAGGTTAAGCTGAAAACAGCTTGTCTTATTGCGTTTCTCTCGTTATCATGTAAATTTAAAAGATCAGAAGCCAGGTTTAGTGTTAAAGCTGTGGGGTAATTTGCCAAAAATTAAAATTGTTACAGGTCAGTTTTCTTAGTTAACAGCCGTGTCTTATAAAGGCGTCTGTGGAGTATAGGAGGTGCATGCATGTTGCGAGGAATACAAGAGCAACATCTTTAAGTTCACAGCTAGAATTTCTTTAATGAAATTGTGATGCCTTAAAGTCTCACAGAAGATCGACGTCGGTGTTTTCTCTTGTTCATGAACAGAAATAAGAACACACAAGGTGCTACTTACTGAGTAGTGCACGAAGAGGAAAACTTATTTGACAGAACAAACACGCGGAAAAGGAGATGTATCGAAATTCTGCTTAATCCTCCGCACAATTCATTCTTCTTCGGCATCCGAGATTGACAGCTGAGATAACACTACTGAGAACGGGATTCACCGCAATTCGAAACCGAGGCTGACTATCATGCAGCTAAAATAAGTTAAGCCTTCTTGTCATTCTCATTCATGTACTAACTACATTTGTGCAGCCAAAAGGTGCGTCTGTTCGACTGAAATGATTACCTTAATGACAAATTTCCATATCCTTACATATAGTACAACTCATGTAATGTCAATCTTTTCTCACGGCGGAAAATGTATGACCCTTCGAGTGGAGGCTGGACTTCGTGGAGGATATTTTACGGATTAGCCCCGCGTTGTGTGTTTACCAAACTTCAACAGACTTGTTTAGACTGAATAATTTGCTAAAATTAATGTTTGCTCATTTTTCACCTGTTCCTTCCAACCAAACGAAATTGTTATTTCGTCGGTGTCTCGTTTTGTGGCTCATAAGTGAACGGTATATCTTCGTCTTTAAGTACTAAATTCAACCCCCGGATCCATTTCAAGGTTTACACAACAAAGAAATCGTGAAGGCGGGAAGGAAAGGAAAGCTTCAGAGTAAAATCACTTTGGGGGGGCACTTAAACGCTACAGGAAAATTAAACGTTATAATTATTATGATCACTGTGGTGTTTAGTCAATAAAAAAGTTCAATACTGAATATGTAGTTGTCTCCCGCTTGTCGCAAATATTGATTTAGCAAGTAAATTTCACTCCTTTTCATCTTGGTCGAACACGGCTGTCCCTCCGCTGTTCATCAATGAGATGATTCAAAGACTAAATTTTCAAAAAGAAAATGGGTTTTAATAATAAGCTCGTATCAAAAAAGCAAGATAAGCTCTCCGCTATTTCACGAACACGGCTGTCCCTCCGCTGTTCATCAATGAGATGATTCAAAGACTAAATTTTCAAAAAGAAAATGGGTTTTAATAATAAGCTCGTATCAAAAAAGCAAGATAAGCTCTCCGCTATTTCACGCAATGTCAGTTTTATTATTGTAATTTCCCTTTGCGTGGCAGAACTCGTTACTCCGTCAACACAACTTATTTGAAAACAGTGACATTTAATAAAACTGGTTATTGTGTGCACGTAAGATAGACTGTTATACCTATCAACCCCTTAGACTCGTTCGAGGAGGCGAGTGATATTAAATGACCAATGTAAATCATACAATTTATAACCAAGATGGCTAAAAATTTATGAGATCTCCTTCGACTACTTTTGGGACTGAGCAACAAGAACAATTCAAGGGGATAGATTGATCTGCAGTTTGTCCTGAAACTCCTCAGTTTAAGATGGTAAGAAAGTAAATATTGTTTAATATTCAAACCGAGACAATACTGAAGAAGAAAATCTTTACATATCGCCGAGTCTTTGCAGTTGAAAATCCTTTATCACATTCTAAAATGCAAATGATTGAATTTTGATCTGAAAAATGGTCTTAGTCCTCGTATGAATTAAATTAATTTTTTCACTAGAAAACAAGGGAGGATCATTCCAAACATGAAGGGCTAGAAATAATCAATAGTTGCCAGAAAAAAAGGGTTATGATTTCTTGCAAGTTTTGTCTGCAAACCGTCACCAGTTCGTCGAACTTTGCGATGATAATTGGCCACGTCACATCTAAAGCAAGTGAAGACCATGAGGGTTGTCAATGGTCAAAAAAGAAAGAAAGTCGAAAGTCGAGTAAGTTTCACATCGTAGTCACGTCGTGGATGCACGGACGGCAAAGAAATGTACCTTTAAAAGATTCTGATGCACCTGCAGATTTAAATACAATGAAGCCTTCATGGCAGGCGTTCGAAAGGGAAAGGGATGGGATTGTGGGCGCGTGAGCATGTGCGAGGGAGGAGTGAGGAGGGGTTTCCATCCCGCCCCCCATGCACAGAAATCCCTTCCCCTCCCTTAGGTGTCGTACCCATGCCTCGTGTGCTAAATGTAACGACAAATTGTATTTCTCGTTGCCGTCGCCGTTGTGTCAACCTCGTCCCTACAGTTTTTCCTTGAAGTCCTGGGGACGAGGCTGCGTTGTGGTTGGAGGCACGCGTAAGCAGACGTGCTGCACGATTCTCTCGCGCATAAACTCATATTTTTGCTAGCTTTTTGGTTACTATTCTAGCTATGAGTATATATTGGCACAGAGTCGGGAAGGACTTAATAAAGAGTTGAAAAATGTATTACTTGACATCGTGATAAAATTATATTGAATCTAAAGAATTGTTAGATATACCATTTTTTTTTTGTAATTTATTGTATTCCTCATGTTATGTTATTTCTTATTTATTTAACTTTACGTACTTTACTCTCTCTCGTTTTTTCTTTAGGATAATATATAAAAGCGTTTGAATTTATAGTCCGACCAGCCTCGGCTAGCTATGCTACCTGCGTGTCGGTCTAAATTGTAATTCAAATCATTTTAAAGACTTTGTTGTTATTTTCGTTGTTGTTTTTATCATTCGTACTAGTGCCACTAATAAGTGGCAGGTGCGCATGCTCTATAGTAACTCATAATGACCTTCATTACAGCCGACGCTATTGGTGACCAGTCTCCTTGCTATACTGTCTTTTCAAACTGCTGAGCCGTGTCGCTTTCTTGAACCCGTGAGTCACCACAAACTGGTCGGTCACGTGATAAGAACGATTCCAGGCATCTGTTTCGAGAAATGTACCTATTACTGCGAGCTTAACATCAAATGCATCAGTGTCAATTATCTTACAAAAGCCAAAGAATGTGAATTGAACTATGCAAGTAAAGAAATGTTTCCATCTTACTTCGAGAAGACGAAGGACTCACTTTATGTGAACAATATCAGAAAGGAAAACAACGACATAGATCCATGTAGATCGCTGACCTGCCTACACGGAGGCTCGTGTTACCCGCTCCCAAAACCATGGTGCTCATGTCTAGATGGTTTCAATGGTTGCACATGCCAAAGTAAGTAATAAGAAGACATCAATACGTACAGTTTTGTGTGAAAAGAATTTCTTGAATAGGGAACCGGGATGGTACAAAATCAGAAAGTCAAATTAACTGATGCAATATTCCAACAGTAGCCTTATTCCAAATAAGGGATGTGAAATAAATCATAATTTCGAGCGAAGCTAGGAAAATCACGATTTCCCAATTTGGTACAACTGTAGCTTGAAGCATCGCTGTAAAGCGCGATCTACCAAATAAAAAACAACCCTCCTAAACGCCTATTTTTTTTCAATGTCTCTCTTAAATTTTTATCTAAATCGCCTCTAAAACAGCCGAGATATAAGATGTAGCACAAACAAAATTTTGCCTTATGAATTTATTTTATTCATAGATAGGTGTCCCCAAAGACGGCGCCCCTTCCATATACGTACAGAATGTCTAAGTTTAAGTTAACCTTTAGCTGACCCCAACTGCTTTTCGTTTCGTTCACAGTGGAACAGGTATTAGGTGCGCCTCTGAGAAATCCCTTTTTAAAAGACTCTTGTTTGGTAAATTTGTCAGTTAAAGATAATTTGTCTAACTGGCCCCGATTGTTTAAACGTAAGATAGCGGTATCCACCAGATAAATCACTATCCAGTGGATAAGTATTAATAATAATAATAATAATTATTATTATTATTATTTTATTTATATAGCGCTAAAATCCAATAATTTTCCAAAGCGCTAGTGCTATTAGAAGAAAGCGCTATTAGAGAAACCAATTGCGCTATCCGGTGGTTAAAGATTATATCCAGTGGATAGCGTTATCGGCATCTTTTGTACAACTGGGGTCTGTTTTTTACTGGTAATGATTAGCCATTCTTAGGTAGCCCAAGAGACCGAGTCAGTGGTCTGGCAAATCATTGTACTATGTGACTGTTCTGGAAACGCTGTAGCCCCTCCTTCGTGTTGAGAGACGAATTTAAAGGGGTTGTGTCACGGGAGTCCAGCTCATTTTGTTTTAATTTTGCCAATTACTCAACCTCAATCGCTATGGAACTTAAAGTAAGCAAAGAAATTACATGTAAATGACAAAATCAGCGATCCGAGACAAACAAATATGTCTCCTGAGTTATTTTTGAAGTTGCAGGCAGCAGGGATCAACTTTGAAAAACTGTTAAGCTGAACAGTTTTCAAAAACCCTAATTTCAATCCGTTTCAATCTTAATCAGTTTTGCCCATCCGTGGCATTTGTTGTTTCTGTTACGTTTTTTTAACCTTCCTGTAAAGTTTTGAGCGGTTATTTTGATGTTTCTCTTAATTTAACGGGCGTTTTGGAATTTCCTAATTTAGCTGAATTTCGTGACACAGCTCCGAGTTTAACATAAAATTCATCCCCCAAATAGTCCCATAATGCAATTCAACACAAGACCAATCCAAGCTAAAGTCTCAGCACATCCTCTAATGCCCAATACCTCTATCCTCAATAAAATTAATCCTTTCAGGTAGAGCAACCCTGAATAGTTTATCATTGGTAGTATCCCCATAGGGAGACAGCCGACTACTTTTTAGCCCTTACCGAAAGAACTTAAGCCCAGGTCAAACGTCAAAATTCACATGTGACGAACCTAGTGAGAACAATAGATTTAGGCCATTTAGCATTAGGTTCTTCTCATAAGAAGTTCGGCGTTTGACCCGGGCATTGAACTGTAAGCAAAACCAAGAGACTATAAAGGGGACAGAGAGGCCATCCCCCATATACACCCTATTCCATAGGTAATTCGTCTCGAGTTATTTTTAGAATCGGGATAAAGTTACCTCGCGCGAGGCGTGGATGTTTCGTGGAGGTTTCGCATGACCAAACGCCGTGCAAAACATGTCGGGCGAGAGGCAATGAAAGCGTAAAAAGATCGAGAGCATTCCTGAATATTGAAGCGAAATGAGTCGGCGCTCACCTGGGAAAAAGGAATCGCTGGACTCTTTGACAACCCGTGAAATCAGTTTAACTCGAAGTTGTCGTAACCTCAGTGCTTTAATAAAATGAGAAATTTCGCCGGTCTATTGAAACCGGTCGTTTGTACAATTTAGGGAGTTTAAGATCCAACGACGCGGACGACAACTAGAACGTCAAAAAAACAATAGGTTTAATTAGCAAAACAACAACTTCGCACGTGCAACACACTTTTTTGTTCATTTCTTTCCCGTTTTTGCACGACTACGACGTGAAAATGCCTAATTTCGCGTTTTATGGAGGACGTAAATAAGCAACGACGAAATTTTATTTCTCTTTCTGAGCTTGAATATGGTCCCTTGAAATTCAGCTTTAGGAGGGTTCGCCTACAATTGACAAAGTAAGTGGGTAGGAATAATCGCTATAAAGACTGAAAAAAATAAACATCAAACCAGAAATTGCTCTCTTCAAACTGTAAATTATAAATGATCCTGAGAGAATATTCAGTGTGTTAAGGATTTCCCTGCTCTACTGTTAGCTCTATACAAGAGAGGAAGGGCGATTCTTTTTTAATTTCGGTTTCGCTGACACAGCTTTCGCAGAAATCTCGCTGTAGTCGTTTTCGTCGACAAAAGGAATAGCAAAATCGCTCTCCGCGTCTTCTCCCATTTTGTTCTGCGTCATTTCGTGAAGGACGCGTGGCTCTCAGCGTGGGTCATCCACGCGGAACACATTCGCGCTATGTGATTGGCTGTTGTTTAATCTCCCTCGAGATCTGTGGTGTTAAAAATAACTCGAGACGAATTACCTGTGGAATAGGGTGTATATGGGGGATGGCCTCTCTGTCCCCTTTATAGTCTCTTGGCAAAACCCAAGAAGACTTCTTACATTATACCCTTTTTTTAGATGTTTTATTAGAGAGCTTAGGGATTGAAGACGATACCATCATTGGAGATGGTCAGCTAACATCCAGTTCAGCAGATTCCGGCCACGAGGCCTGGAGAGGAAGACTTTATGGTAAAGGGAGCTGGAAACCAGAGAAAGGTGATCCTGCCCCAGTCTACAAAGTGTCATTCAATTCACCAGTCAACATAAGTTACATAGCAACACAGGGTGCCCAGGATGATGACTGCTGGGTGACGTCATTCATGATAAAATACAAATTGGGACACAGTCAACACGACTTCAAAAACTATTCTCAGGTAAGAAAGATATAGAAATTATTTTATGTGTGTACATAAATGCAATAAGGCTATTAGAGTGATTTTACTTTACCCGTGAAATAGGTATTAGATTACTACACACTGCTTTGCACTAGTTGTTAGTATCTGTTTCACGGGTCGAGTAAAATTACTCTGCCAGAAAAAGTTTTACATGCGCGGAGTTTGCGTTTAGTGTTATCGTGGGAATGATGGAGCGTATCCAAAGACAAGACAATCCGGTTATTTTTATGTTACACTCACCTTGGTAGTCCCCACTGTTTGAATTTCGATAGAGTTTCGTGACGCAGCTCCTTCAAACCGTACCAATAGATTACTAAAGTGATGACGTCATGTAAATGAAATTTCTGAAATTATGGGATTTGTCAGGATATTCTGAAAGAACAATGTCCAAGAGGCCTACTTGCCAAAAATGAGCATTTCGCGGCAAATTGTCTCGGAGATCGTAGCCCAGTTATACTCAGAAAACTCCATACAAACCCTTCTAATTTTTTTTTGGGTCGACCCAAAAAAAATTTAGAAGGGTTTGTATGGAGTTTTGTAAGCATAACTGGGCTACGATCTCCGAGAATTTGCCCCCAAATGCTCATTTTTGGCAAGTAGGCCTCTTGGGCATTGTTCTTTCAGAATATCCAGACAAATCCCATAATTTCAGAAATTTCATTTTTATGACGTCACACTTTAGTACTCCATGCGGTAACGATGTTCAGTAAGGAGCGTGTCATTGACGTGACACCCAAGAGAAAATTAGGAAGCTTAAGCAACGACGACTGCGACGGCAACGAGAACGGCAACGAGAATGGGTTTAGATTAGCAAAACAACAACTTTGCACGTGCATCACACTTTTTGTACATTTCTTTGTCGTCGTTGCACGACTACAAAGTGAAAGTGCTTAAATTCACGTTTTGTCGATGACGGGAACACAAGACAACAAATTTCTTTTTCTTTTCCTGAACTTTGATACATACAGTCCTTTAGAATTCAACTCCAAAAGCATTTGCCAATATTTGTCGAGGTAAACGACATGGAATAAGCGCGAAAAAGTTTGAAGCAGCGCGAATTCACTTTTTAAGCGATAACTGACTGTTCCACCAAAGTTATAATTTATTTTTAGACCAATTAAACGCTTAAATCAATCGGAAGTTGGTTCCCGAAGAGGTCCGCAATCTCTTATCCACTGTTGTCAAGAGATGATAATGGAACATATGCTCTGTTAGTGTGTCGCCATTACAATAATATACGCATTGATTGCTTTCAGCGCAGTCGCGTGTGTACTCCGTTACGAACAATCTATTAAGATGTGCGAACGTTCCAGGAATTGGACTTCCGTTTAATTACTACGTATACCTCTAAAAATAACTTGAGTGAAATTCACATATCCCGGACAACTTCCTAATATTCCCTCTCTGTTTCATTATCTACTCTCTTGGACACCTCTCTGCTACACTGCCCATAACATAATAAAGAAACTATATTTTGATACATTTTGATAAGAGTAACACCGTTACTTTCCTTTTTCTCTTCTGCAGATTTTCTCAGGAAACAATGATAAGGACACGGTTGTTTATCATCCTCTAAGACAGGGTCACCTTGCTAACGTGACAGATCTCCATATTTTTCCATTGACCTACCACAATTGCAGAGCCCTCAGACTGGGGCTGTATAAGTAATGTAATCATTGCAAGTATTTATCGCACAGGACACCACACAAAAAATAAAGCTTTTTCATTATAGATCTACATTTTAGTTATTAGAGACCTTAATTTAGATTCTAAGACGAGGGCGACTATGAGTACGAGATTTTCTCAACAGAGAGTTTAAGACCGTCACGTATACGGCAAACGGAAAACGTCAGATTCAAGTTAAGAATTTCTCAAAATAGAAAATAAGCTGATAAGAACAGCTCAAAACATTTCTAATGAATAACAAGTTGCGTGAAACTGCTAAATTATGTGTAGAAATAATGAACCGTAAACGACAAGTAAAGGGGAAACTTGGTCATTTGAAACAAATTCGCGTTACTTTGCCTTTTGACGTAAACGTGATGTTTAAGCTCTCCAATACTTAGTGGTGCTCGCGCCTGAGCCAGCGTCATTTTGGCGGGAAAACGTGGTAACCGTCGTCATCCTACTAGGAGTTTTTCAGTATCATAACATGGCCGAAAAGTTTAATTCTGGATTTTAATATTCTTGGAAACAGCGAAAAACCGACTTCGGTATAATATGTACCTGGGGAGCAAACCATTCTTCAGAAGAACTTGGGCCATCGTAGGTTAATCAAAATTAATAAAACACAAACGATGGCCACCTTAGGTCTCTTTTGAAAATGTATGTTGACTAACATACAAAACTTCAAGTTTAAAAAAGGCGAAAGTTGACAATGTTTATCACCGCTTTTTGTGTTTTATTTTTTATTAAACTTAGTTCAAGTCAAGTTTCAATTTTATTTACAAAATCATAAATAAAAATTACAAAATAGCACTAGCCCGCAAAACAGCTAAACTAAAAGTGCACATGCCCAGTTGCATAATAAGTGGTAAGCAAATTCCTCGGCTCATTGCAAAATTGCCTTTTCCGTAAAACTTTGAGCTTAATGAAGGGCGAGAGGAAGGTGCAGGAGTTTTGGCGCTATCATGGTAAGCCCTCCATCTAAGGCTGGTGCCTTCCTGTTTTCATCATCCTCTTTGACCCTCTCAGGAGCTCATAATTCGGAGTGAGCAACTCTCATACCAGGCCTATGTCACGGCGTTTTTACAGACCAGTTTATTTTTAGACACATTTTAGGGCACTTTTTCCCGCGAAAATAGAATCTCCACCATGTCTATGAGTATAAGATATCAGAAAGGAAAACTAGACGTTATTAAAAGGCAAAAAATACAATTTTTAGGTCTGTAGGTTTTGCTGACTGGTTTTTTTGAAATTTAAAAGAAATTCAAAATTCGCGCCAAAAAAGTTCTAAAAAAAACCGGTCCGGGAAAAACACCGTGACACGAGCGCATGGAAGTTGCTCGCTTCAGGTTATTGGCACCTGACTCGCTTCATTGCGGACACCTCTAGATCTAAACGACGTGTGCGTCCCTAGGCAATGATTGTATTAATTAATTACACTTAATTGATTTGAAATAAATGAATGAAAAAAACCACCTCTTGCTTGGTCAAAGCTTTGTCCTGTCCCAAAAGAGAAAACATGGCGCTATTCCCTTCTAGCGGCACAGGCATCCCCATTACTATCCGTACAGCTCGAGTCTCATTGCTATACAGGAAGACCAACTTTCTGGGCGGATGCGTATTATAATAGCTTGGATTGGAGGTGATAACGTGTTATTAACAACTGTGTTCTTGTCCTCATTTGCCTGGTATGGCTGTTTTAATGTAAACAACACAAGTATAACTAAAGAGCCGATTAATACCGTCAAACCCCGTTAAAGCAGATACTCAGGGGGGCATTGAAAGTGTCCGTATGAACGGAATAGGCGGGTTGAATTTAGTAGGCTACTAGTAGTCCCCATTTTTCCTCAGGGATAGTAGAGCAAACGAAACGCGAGCGCGCGTGAAAATCACCCCACGCTCGTTCTACTATCCCTATGGACAAATAGGGGACTACTCGTAGTCTAGAATTTAGAGAAGTAGAAAAGTAACTAAACGCTTATGGTAGAAATAACAAACTTGAGGCCGCAATGGCATCAAGAACTTCCCGACAGTATTGAAACTTTTTTAGAAAAAGCCCATTACAGAATCCTTTTTGCTCTTTATAATTGTGCTCTATTGCGGCGTGTTTAGTTTTTCTTCAGCGTCTTTTTGTGCCGTAACATCCTTATTCTGAACTCAACCTGGACGCCACCTTAGCGCTGAGATATAAAAATGTTGCCACAGCGCACAATTATATTTTAATGGTAACCTTTCACGGCTAACCTGAGGAGTAATTTGTCAGCCATGATTTCATGGTACTAACAATGACGATTAGAACTGATGTGCAACCATTTGGTGGTGTATAAAAAGCGGTGGTGATTGCTAGTTTGTTCACACAAAATAGGGTTGCAACTACCTGTACGCCAGCCTATGTAACCATGTGCGTACCTCAAAAATGTCCAAGATATAAATAAAAACACGAACAAGATAGAAAAACAAAGCAAAGGAACGAGGTAAATAAGAGACTACCGAAAAACTGTACATTTATATCTGTAACTACCCTTTAATTTCTTTCAAAATAATCAGTTTTTCAAACAAAATGTGGTGTTTTCCCCGATCCTGCCACCCGCCAAAGCCGTAACTTCTGCCTGAAGAATACGGTCTTAAGAGTAAGGATCGAAAACAGAAAACTAATGAAAGTTTCTACCATCAAGGACAAAAGTCTTGGGGACACTTTTGCATTTGTGGGGCTTTTTTCAGTTCACACATGCTCAACCCCATTCCCCATCTCACAAACAAAGTTGGACGTGTGTATTCAGAAATTTTTTCGAGTTTCAACACTGTGTAGGGTGGAGGGAGGGAGTACTCCAAGAACATTTCGCAAAGGATGCACCGTTCTATGAGGGCATCCACAAATTACAGAAAATTATGAATACTGCATTACTGTCCCAAGCCCTGTACCCCTGTTTTGTATAGCCTACGGAAACAGCCGTTTCTCCTCGCTCCTCGCTGCCGGGGACGTTTCGCGAGGAGGAAGGTCTGCGACTCAGCGACAGAAATTCCATACTGATGACGTAAGTTAATGTTTACATAATAAATCCGGTAGGGATGGGGTTCCAAATGCAAATTTGTTCAATTTTACGTTTCTCTTGGTCGATTTTGGTGTAATGTTGTGTTCATTTGCAAACGAGCTCTAGCAAAACTCTAAGGCTTCTTCTAGAGAAGAATATATTCCACGACTGTTTTGTTATAGACTTCTCACGTTTACATTTGACCCTTGTAGCCTAGCTTTTTTTTTTTTGTCTGTCATTCGTAACAATAGCAAAAACAATGTAACTACTCCGTCGTCCAATCAGCGTTTATGACCGGATTCCGGATTCATCAGTATGGAATTTCTGTGAGTCGCAGACGTTCCTCCTCGCGAAACGTCCCCGGCGGTGAGGAGCGAGAAGAAACAACTGTTTTGGCAGGCTATATTTTGTACCTTTCTGTCCGTTACAAGTTGGTTATTAACGAACCACTGCAAGGAGAAACTTGTCACCCAGCAACCGTCATTTGGCGCACCTTGGGTCGCTATGGCACTAACATTGGTCACGGAAGTAAAATTTATCTTGATGTATTCAGTGTTTCTATCCTGCAGAGGCATCCAACAGGAATTTCTATTTAGCCTCGCCTTTCTCGCCTCGTAGCCTGTCTTAAATGTCGAAGCTGTAATCTTGTCGTCTGGAATGGCTCCGCTTTCCATGCCAAGGGCTATCGGTCCTGATTGAGAAACTAATGAAAAGTAATGGTTTTTTTTTTTATTTTATTTCAGATCGGTCTTGTAGTTAGTGTCGAAAACAATTTCGCGATTTCCTTGGTTATGCAAGAAGGAAACGCATTTCACACCCCTCTGTAACAGACCATGCTGGATCTATATATTCACAGGGTTTTCGGAGCAAAAAATCACCTGGTTTGCTTATTTTCCACTGGGTTTTTCTTCTTAGTTAGCTAAAAAAAGGTGGCAGAAAATAGAGGGTCTGTGAACACGCTATCACTGGGTAGACTGAATTATACAACTGGTCAGGGTTTCTCTGGGTCAATTAGAATACAAAGGGTGTCATTTCCAAGGCTTTGTGATAACTTAAAATGTCTTGTGACACTTGTTTTAATTTGTAGGAAGTGATTATCCCCTTCTGGTGTCATTGGTCAAAGTAATCCCTTCTAATCCTGTTTTGGGTCTCTTGAGCAAATATTGCTTTATTCATAGGAAATATTATTGTTTCTTCTGTGGCAGCAGTATTAAGGCTCCTTTTATACGGAGAAAACCTATCCCGGGTAGAAGGATCACCATCCCAGCCGATTTAACTCAAGCAAGCGTTTATATGAGAAAAAGTTTATCCCTTTGCCCGATCCAACAACGCTCGGTTTGCTCTGCGGATTGTCTCGCCTTGACAGAGTTGACCCGGACGAGCGAGCCAAATTGTTTATACGGAGAAAAGTTAGCACGGCTTAAAACCTGCGAGCAAGCTCTCCTGGGCGCCCTGGCGGTTGGGCGGGAAAAGGAGGGAATAAATTGAATATCTGCATCGAAAAGTCGATGCGAAATGCTGATTGACGGAGATGACATCATTAATGACGTCATTACCCTTAGCCCGTGTTTTTTAATGTTTGTTTACATTCGCGCTAGTTTCCGTTTCGCGCTGATTAGCGGAAATCTGACAGCTCAGTCAACGGGGAGCAACAGGGGAATTGGAGGTGGGATTCAAATTCCAGAGACGGAGTTGCAATCTCTCCTTTCTTTTCCCTCCCAGCCGCCGGGGCGCCCCGGAGAGCCTGCTCGCAGGCGAGCACAGGAAAGAGGGTGAACCTTCATTGCTTCTTCTTCTTGTTTCTCATGTAAACGGCTCACCACGTTTTGTAAGGAAATGTATGAAATGTTGGCTCGCCCAGGGTATCAGTAGCAAGGCGGGTGATCCTTCTACCCGCGGGTCATTTTTTCTGGTATAAAGGAATTCTAAGACGCAAACTATCTAATAGGCTTATTTAAACTCGAAGCAAAAAGGCGCAGCCGTCACTACTGGCGAAACTCTATTCACGCTATCACGAGAGGTGGAAATGTCAGCTATTGAATTCTTCATTAAGGGCGGCCGATTACCGATTCGAAATTTCCCAAGATTTGTCATTTAGACAAGAGAATTTAACCTACTTTAACAAGGAAATCTTCTTACTTTCACAATGAAGTCCGCTGAATCTGGCATGACACCGGCACATCACAGTCGGTCTAGTGACACACGTTCCTCCATTCTCACAGCGCATGCCGTTACAAGGGTGATACTCGCGAATCACCATTTCCATATAGATCGTTCCTTTTTGTTTTATAAAGTCGCCAGGAAAAAAACTTTTGGAAGCGTTATTTAACTGGCAGGTTTTGAGTGTTGGTACGTAATTGACACTGAAGCACTGCAAATCTAGCTCACAAGAATATGTACAGCTCTCAAAACGCTTATTCTTCAGGGTCTTCAATGTGTGTCCAATGAGTGCGTGATTTTTATTTGAAACATCGGCACGGCAACTATTGAAGCCTGCGGTCGTCTTAGAAAGGGGGATGATCAAGAAAATTGTGAATTCCAAATATGGTAATAGCGGTGACATCCTTGCCAAGAAGCAGGATTAATCAAATGACCTGGGGAAAACAAAACCGAAGGCTGTTATTTCAGATAATTATCAATGCATGCGAAAAGGGCGCGATTTTTATACTTTTTACGATATTTATTATTTAGCCGTTAACTGCCTTCCAAGTCAATTGGATCCAAGGTGGGAATGAGTTTGCTTGAGGTCTATAGAAAGCTTAGTTTAATTAGTCACTATGCCTGTGACTATTACTTTTCTATGCCTAAATCTCCCAAAATATAGACCTGGCAGCTAGTAAATTAAATTACTACGTACTTTATAGGAGTTTTCAGCTAAATGTAAAACCATTCCAAAAATGTCAACCTATAGGACGCTATTCGATTCTAGTAGGACAATTACTGAAAGAGGGGGGTGAATAGGGGTATTCAAATCCGCCGATCCGTGGTATTTTTAGGCCCGATCCGTCGATCCGACTTAATTTTTGTTCAAATCCGAATCCGTGTTAGGCCTGGTTCAGACGCCGTACTTTTCATGAGCCGAACCTAATACATTGAATTAAGTACATGAAAAGTTCGGCGTCTGAATCAATTAGGAACGCCTGTTTCAATTTGGAACGGCTCAGCCGTTCTTTTCGCCTAGCCCGGCCGAGAATTTCGCCTTTGGATCGACTTTGGAACGCCTTTGATTCAGACGCCGAAATTTTCATGTACCGAACCAAATGCAGAAATTCTTATAACGTATTTTGTAAGCAGTTTGACCGAAATGCACATTTTTCGCCTTCTGAATTTAGTTCGGCTGGAATTAAGATCGGCGTCTGAATCACTTTAGCCGGTTTAAATAATTTGGGTCGGCCTTAATTCGAATTAGGTTCGGCTCATGAAAAGTTCGGCGTCTGAACCGGGCCTTACTTGAAAAATTTTTCCTGGTATAAAGAAAGTAGCGTTGTAGCATGAAAAAATGAATTACTTAATATCGTTGTTCTGTAATCGCAACAGATGCGGGACTTCATGTTTAAGAAGTTTTCGTTCAAGTTTCAAAACGTTAAGGTGATTCCCTGGTTTTGCACTTCGCATCTCTTACTGCGCATAACAAGATGGCCTCCGTAAAAAAGAGCATGTGAAGTAACAATATTAAAATGAAGTTGACCGAAGAGAAACGCTATTGCAAATTTTGCTTGCGGTTGTTTCTTGCCGAGGTAAGACTCAGTGTGGTGGGAATGTGCATAACGTAAGCAGTTCGCGTGTTGCTGAGTTCGACTTCCTCACGGAGAACCTCGATAGTGGATGTTTAATTTGTGCTTATTCACTTTGATTTTTATTTAAACGCTTTCTTTATCACATTGTGTCCTAAATGTGACATCTCGATGTAAATTCTGTGAAAACGG